GTTATGGGTTCTGGACCTAAGTTTTATTGGCTTCACGGTGAATCTATGGCCATTATGAGGAAGATCGTTGGTGTAATAGTTCAGGGAGCTGTACGGGTATTAGCATCTCCCACTCTGATTCATATATGAAGATGTCATGGCTTTTTGGCCGTCTTGTAATCCTATTTGTGACAGCGGTCCTGACTTTCCTGTTTTGAGCCCCCTGGGGAAGAGGGGGTGTGGCCCAAACCCAGAGAGCCATCCATCTGCTAAATTTGCTCTCAGATGAGTCTGCTCCCCACCTCTGCCGACGGAATTAGGGTGGGGACAGGCAAAGACCTTCTGAAAAATACAATGCTCTCACCACCGCCATGGGCAGAGATCTAAGTGTAATACTTTTATTTTGTGGCAGAGCACATACTGTAAAGAGAGAAAAAAAATGAGTTAGGAATAGCTGGTTTCTCAAAGAGCAGTGAACAATAACAAAAGGCAATTTTGAAAATAAATCAGATTTTCAAAAGCTGTTTTTCTTTTTGGATGTGAAAGGTCATGTTACAAGGAGCTCAGAGCTCCGGAAAATGGCCGAATAGAGCCAGCAAATTACAAGCGATTTTTTTTTCAAGCGGATCCAAAAAGATATGAGTCGAATTTACCTCAGCAGTGGCTGGCTCGAAGTGCCCTGGGGAGATGGTGACTTAGGTATGGTACGGACCCTTACCGATCTGTAAATACCTAAGAATGTGAACGTTTTTACTCTGTAACATGATGTTTACAGGCAGGGCAGGCTCCCTCCCTGTAAATAGTATAGCAGATGCCTGGGAACCAGTGTCGTTTCTAAATATAGTCAGTCACCTTCTGTGGAGCTGCGGAGAGACCACAACCGTGGGCAGCGATCAGCCTTTTTACAAATATTTCGTAAAACAGTTTTCACACTGTATAATTTATCCTAAGGAGTTAAACTGAACTTTTTTTTTAAATCTTCGATACCTAAAGTTACTGAATTGTTGTAAATGAAGATGTTTATCTTTTGTTTGGTCTTGAGAAAGCTTATAAATTTTTCTAATGTAAAGCATATCTGTATGGAAAGGTAAGATATTTAATACTGAACATATCTGAATAGAAATTTGCAGTTTCTGAATTTCAGATTTTGAAGGGGAGAAACAGGGAGGGAGGGGTGAAGGTTTAGTTCAAAACAGAACCGGGAACCTGATGTGTCCTTTGATTCCCCCGTGTTACCAGATTAATTCGAGAAATTCACTTAAGGAATTACAAGGAAGCAGATGAGGTGGGGTTGCTTGGGAGTTAAGTAAGCAGAATGCAAAACAGAAAGCTCTTCCCCGAAAAGTGTGCATGTGCTGAGTCACTTTAACGGACGGATGGGTCTTCGTGTCTCATAGCTGACGGGAGGAACACGCAGGGGCCGCGCTGATTGTTGGCTTAGATGCACTTGTAAATCATTCCATTGCTCTGCGTGCTTTACTGAATTAAGCTGATAGCACTGAAAATCATGTTGGTCAACGGATGCTGTGATTTATGACTTGAGTTTCCCTAATTTTGGAGGAAAAGGATTGCTACCAAACATTCATATTAAAATCGCCCCTATTTGTTAGTTCTTACTTGGCAAAGAATGCTGGGTACTATTTCTTGTGCGTTTACCTAGCAGGCACTCACTGCGGGTGCTCGTTTCTATTCCCCCCGAATCCTGTTGTACAGGCAGGACTTTTCCCGTTTTATACTTCCCAAGGACCTCTGCCCTGGAGTGGGGAGCAGAGCCAGGCCTGCCTGGCCCCTCAGTCGTTTTCATCCACAAGCTTCTGGGCTCTAGACCCCATGTCGTGTCTTACTTCCTCCTGGTCTCTGTTTCCTTCTCCTCCTCCTCCCACTCCCAGCCTGCCCGTTCTTGAAGGCACAGAAGGCAGCAGGGGTCCATGCAGGTGAGCAGGAAACAACAGGGCAGTCACTCCTACAAGCCGCGTCCCTGCCTGAGGGCCGAGGGACCCCTCATCCAGCACTGTACTTTCTCGGTGGTTTTGTCACTAACCACCGCCATGCTTTCCTGCAAATTGCTGTGACCTTTCACCCCTTCTTCCTGCCGGTGAAGGTCGCATTGTTGGCAATAACAGCAAATGCACATACGAAAATCTGGCTTCAGCTTTGTTTCTTTCACCTTAACAAACTTAAGTCTTGGTGATAAAGAGAATGACAGTGGGGACAGAGAGCTGTGTGACAGTCTTGGGGGAGAAGTGGGGGCAGTGATACGGGTGGTTCTGCACACACTTACATTTCCTGATTTTGGCCCTGGTGTGGCCTATTTTCTAAATGACCCTTTTCCTTTTTTACACTTTGTGTGTGTGTGTGTGAACACCAGCAAGCAGTGTTGAAATTGTTCAGAAGACTAATGCAGTCATTTTGATGGAAAATTGTATGTGAAAGTACCCATCAGCTGCAAATATTGTTAGCTTTGCTGCCCCTTAAATGTCCCCATAATGTACTAGAAAGAAATGAGCCCGAAATGAACCCCAAAGGCCATTTCTGTAGGTTTTTCTCAGTCCCAGCATCTGGTTAATTGCCACATTAGCTAGTGACAGTGGAAGAACTGACAGTGGTGACAAGTTGGCGTCATACAATTCAGCATACAGCTTTAGAGATAAATTAGGAAAATGCGATTTATCGACCCCTTATACAGAAAGGAACACAATCATTGTAAGTATTATAAGTGAATACTGAAATTCAAACATATATTTAAACATTGATTACTTAAAACCTTACTAATTTACTACTGCTCTGCTGATTGAACTGAATGCAGTGGTTTCACACACACTGTTTGGAAACTTAATACTATAAATTTCTTATTTAAATGTTCATAATGAAAACATAGATATTCTCAAGTCCTCCGCAGTTTCACTCTGCAATCAAGTGTTTGCTTAGTGATCAGACAGGCAGAGGTCAGAGGTGCATGATCTTGAAAGCATCAGATTTCATCCCAGAAGCTGGAACTTGGCGCACGGGTGTTCCCCCAAGGAATGTTATTTACGATGGTGACTCTTGCGTTTTATTTAGTGAGGACATAATATTCCAATTTCTTATAAATTATTATTTTGTCACCAAATTTTGTCCTATCAACAAATATTTACTGGTGCGCAGTAATTCGATTCTGCTTTTAATGTAACATAGGAGTGCTGCATACTGAATACAAATAATACACGAAAACTAGTAACCGTAACTCTTCTTCCAGTTGAGAACTCAGAGCAGGCGATGTGCGGCTTTCCGTTTTTTTGGATAAGTTAGAAATAACACTGGATGGAAAGGCACAACGGCAGTGCAGTGGAGTGAGGAGCACCAGCCCTGGGGTTAGACTGTGTGGCTCTCTAAGTGATTTCATTTCTTCCACATAATTGTATGGACCTCAAAGGACTGTGAGAACTAAACCGGATTTGCACACAGTGCTCAGCCTAGAATCGTGCGCACGGTAAGCACTCTTCAGCATTAACCGTGGTTTCCACAGCAGTAAGAAGAGAGACCTGCACTTTCAGTGAAACCCCGTGATACTGTTGGATATAAAAAGATCCGCTGGCATTTGACTTCTGCCCTCTAAACACGTTCACTTGCTCATTTCATCAGCCTTGTGATGTGTCCCGCACTTTATCCAGTAGAATTGTTTGGACCTCACTTGCGGCAAAGTTCCACTGTGAGACCGTCGTGCAGAAGCAGGGTTGTATGTGGGGGCTTTTGCAAGGGTACGAAGTGTAGGAGTGGCGAGGTGGTTTCTGAGACTGCCACATCCTACTGTGTTTCCAGTCATTTTCCTGACCTATTTAAACAAGCTTTAGACAAGCTTTTCATGGAATCTATGTTTCTGACCGACAGCTAGATGACTTTATTTAAATTGCACTAGGATCGATCAGTTTTTTTGTTTCTTGGGTTTTTTTAATTTCTATCTGTTGCATCCCATGGATCCAAAAAAGGGGGAAGAGGTAACAGACAAGGAGACAGATATTAGCAAACATTACATCCGGGAAGATTTTCTCTCCAGTCAGCATTGCTTTGATTTATCAGTGATACCCGTTAAGTGAACGTTTTTCTTATTGGCATCGTCTCATGTATCATCATTCCAGCGTGATCTCTCATGTCCATTAAATCAAACTGGCAGCGCTGGACCTGTTTACAAGAAAATCACTGTGCACCAACTCAGGATGTTATAAAGCCACCTGGGTGGATGGACCACAACAAGGAAGGGTGGGAGAGAGGGTGTACCTCTGGGTGGTGGCTGGGTGCCGAGAAGGGCCTCAGAGAGAAGGAAAGGGGGCTTCTACACGGAAGGGCACTGATTTTTCTAATGGAAGAGGCGCAAAGGCCTGTCAGGAGAGAGGGTGGTGGGGGGCATGGCAGATCAATGCTTTACATCCACCAGGGCGCAAGGTCGGAGGCTTCCATCCGCCCACCACGGAGCAGAGAGGACCAGTGCCCCCTGCATGAGCCCTTGCACGCTGATGACAGCCTGCCACTCCCAACCTGTGACACCCAATTTCTAGGACCCACTTGGCTTGTCCGAAGTTTCAGGACTTAGGGCTCAGCTCCTTGGAACAGTTGCAGCCCCTTCACCCCTCGGGGCAGGGCAGTCGGGGCGCAGAGAGCAGGGGAGAAGCAGGGTGCCCAGGAGTGGGGAGCGGTGAATGTTCCAGCTGCTGTCCCGGCTGACACTGCCAAAAAATTTGTTTTTCTGGGGTCTGCCCGAAAAAGCGTGAAACAGAGTGGGGTTTTTTTTGTGGCAGATCTAGTGACTTGAATCCTCCTCCGTTTTGGAGAGTAATTCAAAAGGTACAGCAATCCCAGGACATGCATCGTAGCCCTCTGGATGTGGAAACTGCAGATCCAGGTCCTCTGGAGAAGCATGAATTTCCCGGGACCTTGGTCACCTTGCTGCACGCGAACTCTGACTGGTGTCCATTTCACACCCATGGACTGTGTCTGTCAGGGCTTACCCTGAGCCACAGGCTTCTGTTCTCTTTCTTTTCTGACAGGTTCCTGGGCAGATCGGTCACCACTCCATGAAGCAGCAAGTCAAGGTCGTCTTCTCGCTCTGAGAACATTATTATCACAGGTAAAAAGCGTACATAAACTTTACAATATGCCCCTGTCCCAGGAGCGGAGAGCATTCGTTGTCAGTAGTAATCAACTCAGAAGTAATACCGTTGCTTAGTGTATTTTAGTGATCTTTTTATTTTAACTCATAGTATCAGCCAAGTCCAAAGTTCCTCATTTATCTTTGAAACTTCTTTTTAACTATTTTGGTCTTACGTCTTAGTATTTCAGATTTCTCATACAGTACATTTATTCATTGATAGACATAGTTAAGCAAGAAATAATTAGACGTATGTATTATTCATTATGCATTTAAAATATGCTTAACTCGGTACAATGTGTAGAGCTAATCCCAGGCTTAGTTCATTCATACACCATCCAAGAAGGGGTAATGAGACCGGAAGGCTAAGCAGTCTTTTTTACATGATGGTGATCGATAACATGTTACAGGAATTGCCTGTGAAAACTACAGAACAGTTATGCCTACCCCTGTCTGCTCATCACACTCATGGGAGGGAAAAACGGAAAACACAGGCTCCTCACCGAAGCAGGAGGGGCCCTGGCTTGGCCAGCGAGACTTAAACACACCCCCAGGTGCTTCCCAGCGGCACGGAGACGGGAGTTTTCTCGGCTGGCCGCGAGGGAAGGGAGGGTTGTGTCGCCCCGGAGGCCTGGGCCACAGGGCACCGGATCCAGGCTGGCAGTCTGGTGAATCTCAGCCCATCTGGGCCTCCTTTTTCTCACCCGTGAAGGGAGGATGTAGGACAAGACCCTCCCTCGGGGCTTCCGGTTCTGTGATGACCGTGGGACTGTGTGGTTTGCTCATCACCTGATGAAAAATAAAATAAAAACTGCAACAACATCACCAACTTCTAAAGGGTAGCCTGCCCCTGAAAGCGCCATGCAGTTCTCGGAGGGGAGAGGAGTCTCGGGTTGTTTGCCAGCTTGCGCCTCGCGCCAAGGGCGGGCGGGCGGGGAGGAGCCCCGCGGGAGAGGGCCTCTGGCCTTCGCGGGCCACGGCTCTCTGTAGGGGGGTAGCTGATCTGACAGCCCCAGTCCAGACAGGTGGTCCAGCCTGTAAACGGTCTTGCATTCTACCAAAGAAACCCAAAATGACAATAGCAACCAAGACAATTCATGAAGACAAAAAAAAAAAAAAGAAGAAGAAAGCAAAATTTAAAGAAAATATTCAAAATCTGCTGAGCAAACCTCTCCCGGCAGAGCCGGGTGTAGATATGACGGTGTGACAGTGAGGCTCGGGGCTTCTGACCTCTGGCTCTGGGCCATTTGAACCGCTGTTCCTGCTCAGCTTAAACCTGATTTGCCTGAGCGTCTCTGAGCTCGTCTGTAACTCTCTAATGACAGTCACAGAGAGGACTGTATACGACTCTTCGCTCATGTTTCAAACTTGTCCGCATCCTCCTCAGGGTTACAATGTAAACGCAGTCACCATAGACCACGTCACCCCGCTGCACGAAGCCTGCCTCGGCGATCATGAGGCCTGTGCCAGGACGCTTCTGGAAGCCGGAGCTAACGTAAGTCCCTTTAAAAAGCATTGACCGTTTCCCACCCACTGGCGGAGAGAATCATGCCAAGTTCCCATTTTGCTTCTCTTTCTTCCTTAGTAGTTTTCAAAAGTAGGACAATAAAAATAAAGCTCTCAGATCGCCTCCCTGCACTCTAGGAAGGATTTCCAGTCACTGCAAAAAATGGAGCAGCATAACAGAGGACATTCCCCAGGTTATGTCCTGTGTTCGTGATTCTGAACAGCAGTAGACGGACATCTTTATGCCCATGATGTCTGCTCATCTTTTGGATGATTTTTTTTTAAGATAAATTTTCAGAATTTCCAACTTAAACTGCCACCAGTAAAGTGGCTTCATCACAGCTCTCATCGCTATTACATTTGCTGACTCTTTCCCCGTAATTACAAAGTACCTAATCGCCGATTTCTCGAGTATTTTTTTCCCCACCATCTTCACTAACTGCATGCCCAGCCCTGTGGATCATCCACGCATCCGATTTCTCTTTATCTCTTGAAGTTTCCCAGCTTTGCTGACTGACGTGTGTGAGCTGAGTACACTTTGTCGTCTTCACTGCGCACACCTTCCTAGTTACCTCTGTTCCCAGATCACGTGCCTTTTCACAGTGCCCACCAGGGAGCGGTGTGCAATTCTGTGACTCACTGTGGGAGCTCTGCTCTGCTGTAGGTAAACGCGATCACCATAGATGGCGTGACTCCGTTATTCAACGCCTGCTCGCAAGGCAGCACGAGCTGCACGGAGCTGCTCTTGGAATACGGCGCCAAGCCGCAGCTGGAGTCCTGCCTGCCTTCCCCGACGCACGAGGCCGCCAGCAAAGGTACTGGGATGGGGTCCATCGGCAGCCCCCAGGGCTCCGCTGGCCTTTTAGGGAATGGCCTTGTGGGGGAAGCTCAGGGTGAGGTGCGCATGTCCCGGGACAGGCGTTAAGAAAACGCACGCTCACCTCCCCTTTGTGTTGGCAGGTCACCACGAATGCCTAGAAATCCTGATCTCCTGGGGCGTAGACGTCGACCAAGACATTCCTCACTTGGGGACCCCTCTCTACGTGGCTTCTATGTCCCAGCAGTTCCACTGCGTCCAGAAGCTTCTCTACGCTGGTGAGTTTCTGGACAGCATCTTCCGTTCTGTCCGCACGCACAAGCAATCACTCAGCTCCACACTGATTTCAATAACCTGTTTAAAAAAATTATATCTCGTGGCTAAACATGTTCTTATTCTAAGCATTCTCACGTAGAACGATACAGCCTGTGAAAGGAACCTCTTTCATGGTATCTCCACTTGGCCTCAGAGCTCTGAAAGCCCTCCTTGGAAAAGGGCATAAGACTAAGATCCTCGCAGTTGAATATAATGGTGCCACGTACGTGTACTTCTGTGAACAAATCCATCCAACAAAGTTCTAGGGATGATAACCTTATCCTCTACCAGCCACAGGAACTGCTGCACTCCCAACTCTGTTCTCGCTGACCCTCCTACCTGAAGAGACTTACTAACTGTGTGAAAAAAGCCAGTTCCTCAAGGTTCATCTTCAGCCGCAGGAAACGATTTCTAATCCTGTGAGACCGCGGCGGCCGCTGCCACCACAGCACTGGGAGCCCAGGGGCATGTGGCCCTTGTCTCTTTCCTGCCATCTCATTTCTCTAAATATTCCCAAAATGAGTAAATGGATTTCTGTGCTTTTTATTGTTCATGACACTCGTCTGGCCTCTGATACACACTGATGTGTATTTTTAGCCACCGCTTTATGCGTTACTCACATCATCTTGGCTGAATTACAAACCTCAAGCAGCTTCTGCACGTCCTGTCTCTTCCCTGTTACATCCCGATCGTCGACAGGTTGCTACTTTCTGTATAAATTAATAGAAGCAGAAGAGTTCACTCTTTGTCATCTTTCTTCACTTTGCTAGCCATATTATTCTTTTCCAGATATTTTATATTGGGTAAAAAAATGGAAGACGTATTGTTAGTAATTATGGATTGGTTGTTATTCTCAGGCTCTGTTCTCCCATAAAGTTGATATAACCAACAGAGTTTATGCCTTCTCTATGGAGATTTTGTTATGGAATAGAATTTTCTCCACTAAACGTTTTATATTTGATTTAAAAATATTGAAAACAGTTACATTTATTGAAGCTTAAAAGTAGCAGAAGGACCGTCAAGGGACTCTTAAAATGTACTGCTTCTCACGAACATCATTAGTTTTACCGACGGTATCAGAAAGCAGAGTTGAAAAGGACTTAATGGATTTTTATTAATAGACATTTCTTGGTGTTGTAACCATTTATGCACTGGAAAATGGGATTATTCTTCTTTAGAATATTGAATAGTATGTAGTCATTGCACACGCATCAGATGACCACCATGTGCCAGGGGCTTATATGCAGATAAAATAACTATGTAATAGGTACTTTAACATCTAAGGTTTTTTAAAAATATAAGCATTTAAAAAACTGATTTTGCATGCAGACATACAGTGCACCTTTCCATGTAAGAGGCTCAGAGCCTTTTAATGTTTACTGAATTAAACTACATGAGACATGAGAGGAAAATCTATATACATTTTACCGCAAGAGCTCACATATTTGATGCATGAGTTTTCCAAGAAGCCAAAGAGCCCATTGCCTTAAAATAAATGACAAGAATAAGAGCAAAAACCTCTTGAATAACCCTCAGAACTATCCATCACGATGACAATGCTTAAGAGTCAACCTAATTGTGCACTCTTCATAGTACAAGTTAATATGATTACTTTCCCGAACTGTTTAAAATTTAATTTTTTTTATTATGAGATCTTTCAAGCATAGGGGAAAATATCAGAGCATCCGACAGAAGTATGCACCTTCCATCCAGATGGACCATGTTTTAAGACTGAGTACATGTATATAACGTATGTCTGAAGTATGTGTATGAACTGTGCATGGTGATATATATTATACATAAAGAAATAACTCATTACAGAAGGAGCTGAGGTCCTCTGTGTGGCTGACACACCCGCCTCCCCTTGCTGATGTAAGTGATTCGTCTGACAAATTCTGTCCGTATTGACCGTCGTTCCTTATTTCCATGTAGGCGCTGACGTACAAAAAGGCAAATACTGGGATACCCCGCTACACGCCGCTGCTCAGCAGCCCTGTACGGAAGTTGTAAACTTGCTGCTAGAATTCGGAGCGGATATCAACGCCAAAAACACAGAGCTTCTGCGACCCGTCGACGTAGCGACCTCCAGCAGTCTGGTGGAAAGACTGTTGCTTCAACATGAAGGTAAGGAGGAGACATGTGGGCATTAATTTTTTTTTTTTTGCCTGAAGTAGATGAAATTTAAAGACTTTTTGTTGGCATGTCATGTAATGATGGCATAACATCTGGAATAGTTTTTGAAAGAAGATAATTTTTTAACTTAGGTTCCAGCTATAAAAAAGATACCACGGTGATTGTAATTTTCCTTTTTCTCATCTTACCTGACTTTCATATTCCTTTGGTTAAGTTAAATCTGTTGTTTGTTTTGACAATAAACAATACGCAATTCTGTTTAATATTTGCTAATAAATATTTGAAAATGTGCCCCATTTTATGAGGGTATTCACCATCTATGATGTGTTCCAGAAACAATCATAAAGTATTTTTGTTCTAAAATAGAAATTCTAAAGCCTGGTCTAGGCACTACAGTGAAATTTGCTTTGGCTTAAATAGTAAACCTAATTTGAGGGAAAAAAAATTTTTAATTCCCCTTTCAGTGCATAACTCTTCTTGGGGCTTTTGACTGAGTATCTCCTTCAAAAAGTAGAATTTGCCTTTGAGGCTTTACATGCAGCAATAATTTCATAAGCTTGAAGATAATGTGTTAAAGAACATGCATGGACTATACTTCAGTTGTAATAAAGTCTTATACATAAAAGCCGTACAAAGGCTTATATAAATTTCCCTAGGGTAATGGTCATAACACCCTAGTTTACTGCAAAACTAGGGGTGGGTGTGTGTGTGTGTGTGTGTGTGTGTGTGTGTGTGTGTGTGTGGCGTGATTTCACATGTCTTACAACACAGAAACCCTGTTTTGATTTTAATTAACAAACACTTCCGCATCTCTCGCAGCCACCCCCAGCCCTCTGTGCCAGCTGTGCCGACTCTGCATCAGAAACTGCCTAGGAAGGTCCAGGTTGCACCTTATCCCACAGCTCCAGCTGCCGACCTTGCTGCAGAATTTCCTACAGTATCGATAAGGCAGTAAAATAATTCTAAGTATTTGAAAATCAAAAATTTCTGTCATCTGTGTAGTGTACATTTCATATTAAAATATGCTACAGCTAGGGTAAAGTGAAACAAGCAGCCCCAGGCAAGGAGCGACACAGCAGCCTGCGTTACCGTGTGCCAGTGTGCGCTGTTACTTCATGCGTTTGCACTGGTTTGGACTATAATATTTAATACATCTACGTATTATTAGCTGCTCCCTTATATCCATTTGTCAATTTAGAAAAAAATGAGAAATTCTCCATTTCATTTTTTTTAGAGTGAAACAGAAAAATGTGAACCTCTACTAAAAGTATTTATATATTGTATTTCTAAAGGCCTATATTCTTCAAATAATGTGTTAACATTTAAGTTTTGGCAACTATAATTGTTTATCTCTGTATTTTGATATTAATACAAAGTAGAGTATGGTTTAGAAGAGAGACATAACCTTTTTGAAATAAAGATGACCCTCATTCAGGAACCCACCATGTCCAATGTGCACCTGTCATTATAACGATCAGTTCAGTAAAGAAAAGGTGGGTTGCCCCAAAGACCCCACTGGTCATATCGGCGCCTTAAGTGGACCTATTTCCAGAACTGGTAGGACTCGGAGTTACCGCTGCTGCGCCCTCAGCTGGGGGGTCTGGAGCATGACACCCCTGCTCGGGCTGTCTGAAGACCCTTCCTCCTCAGGGCCGCCTCTCAAGTCTCAAGTCCTGCTTTTACACGTCTCACTCCAGGCTTCCTCCACTTGGGAAACTGCTGATACCTGGGCCGAGGAACGTGAACTTCATGTCTAATGGGTGAAGACACCCGGGGTCACACCGCAGGGCTCAGCGCAGTCCGAGGCTGTCAAAAGCGCAAGATAAAAACGCCTTAAATTGTGAGGTTTCCAAAGAAAAGGAAAAGGGAGTGCCACTTAGCAACTGTAGAACCCTTAGAAATTTTACTTGTTTGTAGACCTTCATGGCGGTGTCTCGAATCCTCCATCCGCAATCATGGGTCTGGGGGAGGCGGTCCGAGGGAGCGCTGGAGGCCGGAGGACGCTGGCGCGCGGCGTCCTCTGCCGGGGCGAGCGCTGCGTGCTCTCGCCTGCTTCACTGTGCTTGAGTGCAACGTAAAGCACCATTTTTGAAAAGTTACACCTGCTCTGTAATTTAGACTAGACTTGTGTCTTTTATGGATTTAGAAATAAGATAATCAAGGTAACACTATAAAGGAGAAGGAAATATTTTGATGAGTTTTTTAAATTTATCAAATTTTCATAAAACAGTTTGACCACTTTTGATAAACCGGGGGCCTGTTTTCCTTCTTAGCTCTTGGCTGACTTTCAGAGACATGTGGGGAATAAACTATTATTGTACACAACCTCCATGTCACTAAGATTGCATTAAAAACCATTTGTTTAGATTTTTAAAAGTAGAAATAAGGCTGTAGTGCGTTTGTTTAAGAAATGGCTTCTATGTGGTGGAGGCTTTTAAGCGAGCCTGTTTTACTAAATAATTTCAGCCTAGCAAATTTATAATATCCTCAGAATAGTGTACATCTCAACTCTTTTTATTATAGAATAAACCTATTGAATATAATCAGGTATTAAAACTGCATTTAGTAAAACAGCTCTCTACTAATCCTTCCCCTGAGTCAGAGGCGGTCTCGGAGTTTAAGAGTGATACAGCACATCCTTCTTCATTGGTCTTGGGCCAACAAAAGAAGTAAATACCAAATATTAAAGTAAGGATAGACGCTTAAAAATTTCAGTATGCTGGTACCTTGTATCTTAGTTTGAGTATAGCTGTCTTATCAAAGAAGTGTTCCAAGTAAGTGTATGTTTGTTAATATATTGAAGTGTGATATTTATTCCCTGGAATAAAACACTTTTTTCCTGTTCTAATTAGTACTTGATTTTGTAATGGAAGGTGATGGAGAACATGATTCCGTTGCCCTAGCTCTGTTTACCACTGGTTTTCCGATCACTGTATCGTGGGACAGTGAGAACAGAACGGTGCAGACTGAAAACAGTACCTCGAAGGTCTTCTAATCCGAACCTTACTGTATACACGTATGGAGGTCCAAGGAGAGAGTTCCACAAAGGCGAAGACAAAATACAAAAACAACCTACGGGTTTCCTATACTTAGGGTGGGGTTACCTCCTGATTAACCTATCGTAAGTTGAAAATACCATGTTGGAAATGCACTTAAATTAATGCATGGACCTACAGAACATCATAGCTCAGCCTGGTCTACCTTAAATGTGCTCAGAACCCATACATGAGCCTACAGCAGGGCAGCACCATCTAACACAAAGCCTATTTTATGAGAAAGCACTGACTACCTCATGTCACAGATTGAGTACCGTACAGACAGTGAAAAGCAGAGTGGCTGGGTCCAGAACGGTTGTAAGAGCATCAATTGTTTCCTTCATGGTCAGCGGCTGGCTGGGAGCTGTGCTGCTGCCCAGGACCCGACAGCATGTTCCTGGTCTGGGGGGAAGACCAAGTTCAAAATCTGAAGTGTTGTTTTTACTGAAAGCACATGGCTTTCACACCATCGGAAAGTTGAAAAATCGTTTGGTCAAGGACTGTTTTTGACGTGAAATTAAAGAAATAGAAATAAATACTGGGGTAAAGCACTACTGAGACATTTATTTTGTAGGAAAAATTATTTCATTTCTATTATTGTTGTAACCACGGAGTATTTTCCATGCTTCTGAGTCAGTAAATAGAAACACAGTTGAAAGGCTGGCCTCTTCCAAAAACGTCTAAATGTATCCACGATGTTTCCTTGGATGGCCCTGAACCCAGCTGACTGGTTCTCCATTTACAGGCTACCTAAAAATGTATCCTCTCCCTTGGGTAGCCTCACTCTTTCACTCCAGCCTGTCTACTTTCTTACTCTTTAGTTTATTTTAAGGTTTGCACCCTCTCTTAAAAACCGAAATAATCACTCTCAGACTTTTTCAGGTTTTCGCAACTGCTCTGGTATGGGGGCTCCCTGTCAGTGTGGGGGCCAGACCTTCTTTTAAATTCTCTCTATTGCCCAGGGGGTAAATTAAACCCCACACAGTTCTATACTTCCCGAGGGCAGATATTAATTCTCAGGGACAGTGCAATTCAAACAAGAGGAAAAGAAGTATTTTCCTAAGGGTCTCATAATTCTTGAGGCTTCCTTCTCAAAGCCAAGTCAGCACTTTACACTATTAGGTTTCAAATTATTGTGCAGATCCACATCTATTATGTACATAAAGACATGTCGCCTTAGGCAAGAAGTTACTCTTCCAAAGGAAGGACTCAATTTAATTCTCAGCCAAACGGTCGGTCTCAGTCTGGGGGAATGGAAGGCAGTAATTTTTACTTTGTTACATTCTCCTTAGGAAAAACAAATGAGAGTATTAAAAAGAACCCCAGAACCTTCTTCTTGTGCTGTACACGAGGGGAACAGTGACCTGATCCAACAGCTGCATGTGCCAGTTTGAGTGACATCAGGCGAGACTCAGTTCCCGGCTCCACACTTGGCCCCACGCTTGGTTTAACGATCATCTTGAAATGCTTCATTTTTAAACAACGGCCCCCATGTTTTTACCTTGCGCTGTGCGCTGCAAATCATGTACCTGTTCGATTCTGCTTTGACGCTGTAATTATACCAGCAAGTAACAGCCATCTTGGGACGCGGGCTCTTCCTCTTTGGGTAAGTCACACGGAACTTCCTCGGGAAAATCCTTTGCCCCATTCTGGGACTTAAAGGAACTAGAGAGAGAACTTGAGGTGTCTGTTCAAATGTCACCTCAATAGAGACGTAGTCTGTGGAGCCAGCTGGCTCGTTCTGGAGCCCAAAAACTCCCACCCTGGGGCTCTCTGTGCCTGGAGCCACTGACACCTCAACCCCTGCTCCCCCTGAGGGACCCTTCGCAAACCTGCATTTCTGCAAGATACGAAACACCTTCTCAGGATGCGCGTTTACGCCAACAAAGCTAAACGGCCCAGGAGATGGTGCGCGCAGCTCACCACACCCTAGGCAGACAGGCCTACATCCTGCCCTTAACAGAGCTGTAAACCCTATTAATTCAGAGGTGCTCCTCTCAGATCCTGTAGCCAATCAGGTACCTGTGCACGAACTGACCACACAGCCCCTGCTCCTGGCATGCACAGCCCCCTGCCCCCAGTAAAGGACCCTGCACGGCCACACTCAGGACCCAGTGGGTGAGCCTGGTGTCTGAACTCCAGGATCAGGAAGACACCCCACCCCCTCCATGGGCAGAAGCAGACACGGGCAGGTCGCCCCTAGAACAGCACAGATGCCTCCGGTGGAGCGGAACACAGGAGGCGCTCACTCTGCATTTCCCAGACTCCGAAGCGGAAGAGAGGTGGCTAAGGTGTGGGGCGGGGGAGTGAAGCTCCGGGCCACAGTGTGGAACTGCAAACACGTGAGCTTATGCACTGAAAAGGAGTGTAACTTCCCAGGGATCAGTGACAATAGAAAACCACCCACAGTGGCCCCTCAGTATCTGCGGGGGGCTGGTTCCAGGATCCCCAAGGATGCCAGAATCCCAGGCATGCTCAAGTTCCTTTTAAAGAAAGGCCTGGTACTTGCTATCACCCATGCTACCCTACTGTACATTTAAAATCATCTCTAGATTCCTTATATTACCTAATACAATGTAAATGTTATGTAAACAGTTGCCAGCGGGAGGCAAATGCAACTTTTGCCTTTCGGATCTTTCTGGAGTGTTTTTCCGTTAACATTGTCCATCTGAGATAAGTTAAATCCACTGATGTAGAACCCTCAGATCCAGAGGGCCAACTGTATTCACACATTTACGCTTTATAAACTGCAATATATTTCCTCAAAGCCAGCTTTAAGCACTTTCATTCTTCCTCTTTGAGAACTTTCTCGATCAACAAAATACCCGTATCAGGTAAAGCGCCCTGAACCTTCTTCAGACACTTACGTGATAGGTCAACAACAGTTACTGGATTGGATGGCTGTTTGCCTTTTGCAGAAGTTGGATGCGTCTTAGAGGATAACAGTGGATTATTGTAAACTCAGTCAGGAGGTACCTTCGGTTATGGCTGCTTTTCCATTTGAGGTATCTTGGCTGGAACCAGTCTCCGCAGCAATCCCTGGCAACTGTTGTGCTGCTATCGATCTGCAAAGTGCTTTCTCCCTCCGTGATAATATGCAAGCATCACCAGAAGCAGCTTGCTTTTATCTAGCAGGACGAATAGTGCACATTCATCATCTTGTCAGGTCAAATCAATTTTCTGGCTCTTTGCCACAAGATCAGCAGAAGTTTTTGAGTGTCTTAACATCCCACACGACATCCGGCTGGTCCACTCTGATCGTGATGCCGTGGATCTGATGAACAGAAGTAGCCAGTCGCTCAGCTGCCTTGGCAAGAAACAGATGAGCTGGCACTGGAGGGAGACCTCACTCCCACATATGAAGCAATGGGTCATTCAGCAGGAAAACAGAAGTCCGTCAGGTAGTTAGATAGAAATGAGTGCTGGGCAGGGGGAGAGGAAGGGGGAAAGGAGCAACCCAGAACACAAGAACCTGAGCTGCCAACCAGCCTGAGCACAAGGCAAGGGACCTGAGCTGTCAATCAGCCTGAGACTCAAAGAACCTGAGAAGCAAACCAATCAATCGGTCATGAAAACGCCCCTAAGCCAAGATATAAAAATAGGGAGAACAAGGGAGCGTGTCATTTTTCCTCTCTGGGACTGGCCGGCTCCCAGCTCTTGGGAGCGCACTATATTCTACTACCTTTTTACTTTACTAATAAAGGCTTGTTTATATCACACATTCTCTCTCTCGTTAAAAATTCTTTTTTTTTTTGGGTGACTAAGAACAGAGGTAATTCTTATTTCCCTTTTCCCAGTAACAAGTCCATGAATTCAACAAGAATTAAATATCTGGAAATGGTTAGACGGATGCTGAGGAACTAAAAAGCTGAGACCGTCAAATTAACAGAGAGACTCAGGAGGCTTTCCTAGCTGGGGAGCGAAGGGAAGCAGTGGGGGTTCTAAGAGCCGAGCCCGGAGGGAAGCCCTCCAGGCTGCCGTTTGAAGGGGGGGCCAACACAGCAGGTGCTGATTCCTCACCAGATCAGAGGAGGGGTCCTAGAGGAAAATCTGGGACGTGGAGTTCTGAGCGCCACAACGTCCCAGTGGCACTGAAACCTCTGAGGGGTACGACGACACTGGCTCCAGGAATGCAACAAACAAACAAACAACAACAACAACAAAACCCTGGATACTGGACCCCCTGCCGCTGACTGGGGAAGCTTCGCTGCCATCGTGACATTCCTTTGAACAGCCCTCTCCCTTCCCCAGGCCTCCTGGTCTCTCTCTGTCCCCCACTACTGGCAGAATTTCATAAAACTCAGCAAAGGAGAAACCACGTTGCTGAGTTACACTTTCACACGGCAGAACATGGAAGACTGTGTTAGAAACAGATCTATTTGCTTAACAGTTGGCACATTTATTATAGGAAAAATACTAACCCCGTAGCAAGACTGTTCTCAGTCAAGCTCCAATCTACAGCCCGACGTGACCTCTCCAGCCATGGCCCCTAGACCTTGGGTCAGCCCACACTTTCTATAACTCTAATGGGTTATTTGTTATTTCCTAAAACCCATTAAAAAATTCTCATAGCACAGATTGCATTGCCTGCTTCTGCTCAGAGTCCCCTCCCCTCTTCTTCCACAAGTTCCTTGATCATCTTGGAAACGCCATTGATACTTAGGGAGCCTTTACAGTGTGTGCACACTGTTCCAGGCTCTTCTCTCATTTAACTTAATTTAATCCTCAGCACAACCCTGGGAGGTACATCCTACTTAATCCCATCTTTTACAAATAAAACTGGTCAAATAAGTAATAAAATGTACAGCCGATGCTCCAAAGCCTGTGTCAGAACCAACTCAAATGCCGCCTTCTAAGGTCCACATCCGAAGTCAGCTCCTTTGAGAAGACACCTACCCTCCCTCGGGCCAAGTTACTTGCTTCCTCCTTGGTACTAATATATTCTCACCATGGCAAAGCTTCTCAAGGTACATGATCTTTGTCAGATATTTATATCTCTGCTCCCTCTATAAATAATCCAGAGCACAGCTGTTGAACAGAACCGCCTGCAACCACAGTGCAGTGTCTGGGCTGCGCAGTGTGGGGACCTCTGGCCCCCCAGGGCTACTGAGCTGTTGAAATGTAGCCATTGTTACTCACTTTATTTAAATTTATTTAAATTTAAAGCTGAATCCACATGGGGCCAGTGGCTCCCATACTGAATAGTGAAGACCTAGTGTACGGCAAAGTTCCTCAGAAAAAGTTCACTGAAGGAATGACTCATTCGTGAAAAACTACACTGGGTGAAGGAAAAGCACCTGTATAGCTTCGCTTTTGTTTTTTTTTTTAACCATATACAAACTCACATTGGTTTACTTTAATAAACATGTATGTGAATAATTCAACACAATATATAGCTCCACTCTCAATATCTATTCCATATTTAATCTTGGATAATACTATGTATTCAAATACCACTATGTATTCAAAAACAAATACATTCATTTGTTTTTGCTGTAAATTTTTTTAAAAGATTTTAATAGTTCTGCTGTGTAAATGTTTAATTTATTATTGTCTATGCCTGCTCTGCAATCCTTTTTCTCCCCTCTGCATTTTTCACTGATAAATTCCAAGTGGCTAGATCAGGGCCTGCCATTCACTAGGGACTCAGTAAATATTTGTCAAATGAACGAATCATGCATACTGAATCACATTTCACTGTGAAACGTGAAAATCTAGTTTACTTCCAAATTCTTTTCAAATATTTAATTTCTATGAACACAATGCGGTAATCAAGTAAATAGTTATGTTAAATTTTGTAGACATTAGCACTTAATTTTGAACATTTTTTCATTAATAACGTTAGAACAAAAGCCCTACAGTTTCCATTTCCAAACAAAAACCGTCTTTGTCCTCTGAAAGGTCCTCATATCCTTCTCAAAATGCTTGACTTAAAATAGGCCTTAGGCAGGGCAGAAACCACAATACTCAAAATGTCAGCTTCTATGGGAGGGCGGGCTAGGTTTCCCTTCAGGCCAATAAAAACTCAAACTGAAAGTTCCGCCCAAGGTCTAAGCTCCCGGACTGCATCCTCGCCCAGTGGGGCCAGGGATACATGTTCCCAACCCAGAGCGTCGCGTCCCCAAACTGGGGGACCCACGAGGCCGAAAGGCCCGCCCCGAGGCCCCGCCCCCGCGCTGAGGCCCCGCCCCGCCCCGGCTGCTGCTATAGCAACCCAGAAAGCGCCATGGCTGCCGTCGGCCGGGGAGGACGCCTTTCGACACTGCCGGCAGCGGCCGAACCCAAGTCACCGTCGCTTTCGCCACGTCCAGCAGCTCCGACCGGAGGGAGGCCTAGGAAGTGTCTGGTCTACCCGCATCCCCCGAAGAGCTCCCGCCTGTCTCCGTCGGTGCTGCGCTGGCTCCAGGGCCTGGATCTCAGCTTCTTCCCCAGGAACATCAGCAGGTGCGTGGGGCAGGTCGCCACCCAGCCGCCGGGGGGGGGGCGCCTGGGCCCGAGCAGAGCAGCCCCGGGTCCGCCCGCCGCGCCGCCAGCAGGGGCTCTCGCCTGGGACCGCCTGCCCCGCCCTCTCGGCGCGCACGCGCGCACACGCGCACACGCTCCTTGCCGTCTGTCTTTCTTAGGGAGCTGACCGGAAAATCAGGATAAAGCATTTCATTCAATCAATCAATCAATCAATCAATCAATCATTACGTTTTAGACCTAAGCTAATATACAGTGCTTTGGTGACTACAAAATAAATAAATAAATAAAATAGCCCAGGCTCTTTTTCAGGGCCCTTGGACGTTAGTATCAGCGGGGATGCGTTTACCTTTTGTTAGAGATGGCATCTGGTCTGAGGGTTATCAGGGATTGAAGTCGCCTAACTGCAGCCACACTGAACTTCACAGCAGTTAACCTTGCTCTGGAATGCAGATTAAAATTTCCTAAAAATAAAATGACTTCTTTTGCAGGCAAGGATGCTGGTCCACTGATTTCTGTATTCTGTATTCCTTAAGAAAAACGTGTGAAAATTACAGCGCATAGACATCACCTGTGGGTCTTGTTAAAATGCAGATTCAATACAAATTAATAGTTTGGATTCATAAAAAGAACACCGTGACCTTTGGTGTGTGTCTAAACTTATCCAAATGCTATTCTACAGCAGTCCTCCTCTGAGCAATGATTCAAAAAATCCCTACATTTACAAGTTACTGACTGTCAGTACAGAATATTATATTGGTGTGAATAACTATAAAGTAATACAAACTGTATACGTAACTATTATTTTATTTCATTTTCTTATTGCTACGGATCAGAGATTTTTCAAATGGCTTCCTGATAGCAGAAATATTCACCATACATTACCCCCAGGACCTTAAATTGTCATCCTTTAAAAATGGAACTTCTTTAAAAGTCAAGTTGGATAACTGGGCACAGCTGGAAAAGGTAAATTAGCCATCACTAATTGTTAACAGTGGAGAAGTCTGTGCTTGAAAAGACGTATCCCCGAGGTGCTGGGTTTCTCTGTATGTGTCTGCGGGCAGCGCTAGGTCTGCAGCCTGTTTCCCTCCATTGAAAAGAAGGTTATGAAAGCTTCTGTCATGCGTCACCCATGGAACAGCATACTCATTTCAGATTGGAGTGGGATACAATGGTTGCTTTTCCTGCTGAGTAAAAATATGTTTTAATAATTAACACTCTAGACCTCAAAATATTAGTTGAGGATAAAAGGGGGATGACAGTGAATTTACAGTCATTGGAGATTTTTATAGAACTTCTTATGGTGAAAGTATTTTCTCTCTACTATTAAAGTTCCTGGCAAGAAAAAAACTTAAGCTACCTAAAGAACTAATCCACGGAACAATTCACTGTAAAGCCGGAGTGCCTGAGATACTGGTACAAGAGGTGTACACCTTGTTAACACATCGAGAGTGAGTTATTTGGAATTTCCTAGTAATACAGTTTAATATGAAACTTTTATAATACAAATCTTGTTACTAAAATGTGGCTTTCTAAATTTCTTTTCCCCAGAATTCAAAGTATCCAGGATGACCTCGTGAATTTCACAGACTACAGTTACCAGAGGCAGTTGCCCCTGGTTCCCAGATCAACAGCTTCAAAGTCTATTAAAGATAACATTCGGTTATCAGAACTAATGAGCAATCCCAACAAGCTCAGCAATGAACTTAAAGCGGACTTCC